TACATTTATCTTATAATGACTGATACGCAAATTTACACAATTAATGAAATAAATAAATAGATATGTGATTGAATCAAATACAGAAAAATTATTGATGGAAAGAAGGAAAATTAATCTTCTATACAGAGTGCCCCAGAATTTAACGTGTGGGATGATAGTATGGATCTAGTCCTGAAGAATTTAGATAAAAAAAATATCTCATTGTTTGGAAATTATGAGCTTTTAAGTGCTATCTGGAGCTTTGGTGTAATTATAACCAAAGCCTCCGCTTTGCCCTTGCCTCTGGTACTCACGGAAATCGCCGTTAGGCATTACTTCGTGGGGGGAGGATCTAGAATATTATAATTTTTGCAATGAAATTATATTTGTCTCTTAAATGAAACAGGTCCCATTCTTTCTATAGATCGCAGGTAATGGTTAGACAAATAAAGATCCAAGTAAATTAATACTGTTATTACATAATCGAACAATTTTTTTAATGATTTTTAAAATACAAATTGGATTTTTAAAGTTTTTCAAATTTGACAAATTCTATTTTATTATAAAGGGAGTTATACAATATATTCTAATACATCACTTTTTTATCCTAGGGTAAACTTATGGTGAAATGATGACCATTTTTCGATTATTGTGTTTAATATTTATTAATTTTTTTTGTTTAAACTTTGGAACAGTAACCGTTATAAAAATGTCTAGGACCACAGTAAAAAATAATACCGCAATTGCCCCAAGTTTGCAAGAATTAATACTTTTTGTAGAACTATGAATTTAAATATTTATAAACAATTGTTTGATTGATTTTGAGAGGCCCCCTCAAAATTTTTGTTAAAATGATAAATTTATTATTGAAAAATTTCTAGCAAAAAACAAAAACCTTATCTTCTTAACTTTAGTAAAGTCTTAAAATATATACACAAACATTCACACCTATGACAAAAAACTATTTGTCTGTTGTAATTCCCAGTTAATTTAAATTTTAATTTCTAGTGCATATTTATTAACTTAGCAGAAAATATGTTACAAAAAATTGTGTGACCGTTTATTTATATCGATCGATTTTGAGAGTCCTCTTAAATTTTTTTTAGTAAAGTGTGTTGGTATACCAAACTTATAAGTTTCATCAAAAGATCGCATTCGATCCGAATAAAATGGTAAAGTAGTATTCGAGTAAAAAAAATAAAAACCTCTTCTTTTCTCCAATAAAGTCCTAAAATATATATACAAACATACACACCTATGACAAATAACTATTTGTCTGTTGTAATTTCCAGTTACATTTTAATTTCTAGTATATCTTTATTGAATTTAAATCCTTTTAAAGACGATTTATAAAATATTTCTTGAAGATCCTGACATAAAATATGGTACAAGAAATTCTGGCGTCATGTTCACTGGGCTTTTATATATTTATTTATTATGTTATCTCATTTGAACGTTTTCTTTTCTCAGAAATTATTATTTGTATGTTGCATTGATTCATAAAACATCAAATTGTTTGATAAAATTAAAAGTAATTAGAAATTAATTAATCGATTATTGCTTTCAAACAATTGCTTAATTAATATTATGATTTATTTGAATTGTTTTTAAGCAGCAATCGCGTCATATTATATTTTTAAATACAAACCAAAATAAAGAACAAAAATCTAACACGTAAACAAATAATGTATTAATTATTTAATTATGTGCATTAAAATACTAATAGCCTAGTTAGAAAATTGTTAGATCAAATTCATAGTAGAGAATTGAAAAAAAAAATGATGATATATTACATATAAAATTCTTCTGTACGGGTGTATGATTTGATTCTTTTCCTAAACGGTTATTCGGATTTTGATAAATCTTTTTAGAATTTGTCAGAGGAAATATTTAAGATTTAATGAACGATAAATTTCAGTAATATTGTAGAAATAAAAGGCAAAAATTACAAAAAAACACTTATCATTGTTTGGCATTGAAAACATTTGAACTGTCATCTGCTAGAAATATGTCAATTCACTTGAAATTTGAATTTAGCTGAAATTATGAGCCTAGATAATATTAGAATATAATATAGAAGAAAAATTTAATGTCTATATTATTATTGCCGAAAAGCAGCTGACATGTGCCAGAAATTAAAATATTATAAGATACATGTATTAACTGCAGTTAACAGTATATGTTTGGCAGAAGGAATTATATAATTCAGTTTAATAAATAACGCAGTAGGTCCAAAATTGCATAAACATTATTAATTTTTATGAATTTATACATACTGTTTATAATAAGACCATAAATGAATCACAAAGGCAGGACATCAAATAAGATAAGATATTAAAAAATCCTAAATTTTGAACTTTTGAATTGTAGACGTGGGTACGGAACAACGTCTGTCGGACCATCCAGTATATATACTAATATTTTAAGCAATTTCACATAATTTTTATCAATAATGTAAATATTTGATTTATTGCATCATTTAAACATTTTCTTTTCTATGAAAATATTATTTAAACTAGTTGTCTTAAGGCAAGTTGCATGAACTTTCCAAAATGTGTAGTAATCGACTTAATCAACCAAAATTGATATTTGGATAATTAGATAAAATTTTCAACCGTTTATTTCGAATATCAAATTTTTGCTTTCAATTAAATTTCAACATTGCCATTTCCAATTATATTAATTTCAATTCTTTCTCAAATATTTTTATCACAATATATAAATATAAATCATTGTCGCAATGAGCAATAATACTCTTTATTATAATGGCACATTATTATTCCGTTGGTTAAAGATTTCCGGAAAATATTCAAATTCTTCCGGTATTTTTTTTCAAAAAGTGTCCTCGACAACTTTTTTTTAGAATATGTCCTCACCGAGTATCAATCACGTACGATCTTGCGGTCAGCAACTTTATATATTGTTTTCTAAGAAACACAACCTCGAAATTTATTTTCTATCATTGCTAAAGATTTTAGATTTGAAATAAATTTCAAAATGAAAATTGTAGTGAAATCTACCGCAAAAATTGGCTAGCATATTTGGAAATATAAATTTTGAAATAATAATGAAATAGAATATAAAGAGTTGCTAAAATAGTGATATTTTAAATCACATTTTTATTTTTTTATATTACAAAAAGCAAATTGTAGGAACTTTTTATATATATATATATATATATATATATATATATATATGTATATATACTAGATGACCCGACAGACGTCGTCCTGCACCCAACTTCCAAATTTTTTAATATTCTATCCTATACTTTTTAGTATCCTATTTGATGTCCTCCCTTTGTGATTCATTTATGGTCTTGGCATAAGCAGTATAAGAAATTCAGAAAAAATAATATAGTATCTGCTGTAAAAGAACAATATCACACTTGATTTTACCACACAACATAATTGCTTCAATAATTTCGTCAATAATTTTCATAATCTCGTATCATATATTATTTGCTTTTTGGCAATTACTTATAACTTCTAAAGTACATTTTTTCTACTAATAATTTAATAAACAATATTATGTGTATTTTTAAATCTTAGGTGAATTAGTTTATGAAATCTAGTTTACATGTGCACTATTCTATCTAAGATCAACTTGCTAAATATTCCATATCCAATGGCAAACAAATGAATTTGAAACATAATTCTAAATCAATTTTTAATAAGTAAAAATATTTGTTTGCATTGTTAAATAATTTAGTAAAGTAAACCAAAATGCGACATACATAAGTTTAAAAAAATAATGTATATGCAATTTTGGACTTATTTCGTTATTTAAACTGAGTTATATAATTTCATCTGCCAACATACACTGTTGACTGTATCTTATATTATTTTAATTTCTGGCACATCTCAACTGCTATAATAATGTAGATATTACACTTTTCTTGTATATTGTATTCTAATATTATCTAGGCCCATAACTTCAGCTGAATTCAAAATTTCAAGTGAATTGACATTTATTACAAAATGTCAAACTATGATAAATGGTTTTTTTGTAATTTTTCCATTTATTTCTACAATCTAACTATATTTCCATATTTAAAAAATTCTAAAAAATCCCTTAACAAACTGCAGAATGATTTATCAAAATCCGAATAATCGTTCAGGAGGATTATTTTTTCATACACCATTAAACAAGAATTTTATATTAATCACAGTAATATATTATTAATGCATATTTGGAAACATAAATTTTAAAATTGTAATAAATTTGAATAAATAGTAGTAAAATTTTTTTAGTATTTTAAACAACATCTTTATTATTTTATTTTACAAAAAGCAATTGGAAAGAACTTAATAAACTTTTAACTTTTTTGTTTATTGCATATTTTAGTACATATTAATTTTTTAGCATTGTTTCATTATATGAAGGCTAAAACTATGTACATATTTTATAATACATTTACATAGATAAAATTTAACCCATCATTGAACAACCCTGCAGATATAAAAGCACTAATCTCTACGATCTTCCGTCCAGAGTTGAGATGTTTTGGACAGAGGCGCCAGACGGTAGAATTATAACTTTCATTTGCATACTGAGTGTGACCTCCTAAACATCTTTCAAGCGAGTCGTCCCGAGATAAGTCATCAAAAATTGGCTTAATATGAGGTTGAACATTAGGATGTAATGGAGTTGGATGTTTAATTTCTTTGGGTTTTTCTCCTAAAGATTCAGCTTTGCGCCATAATTTTGTTTTGAATATTTACAGGCATATTTTTGAGATGTTATTCTAACAATTTATGAAAAAAAAAATCGATTCTTTTTTTTTTACATGTATTGCCCCCCTTAATAATTACAGACGTTTCAAGACCATAGTATGTCTTGGGTCAATTAGGTATATTTAGATTAACTATAATAAATTATTTACTATATTATTATATTAATTTTTTAATGTATTACTGTAAATATTTAGTTATAAACATATAATTTGTATTATATGATGCTTACTGTATATGTTATACTATGTACAATGTGCAAAAATAATTTTAAACATTTTTTCAAACTCAATGTTTTTCATCATGCGTCTCACTATGAAGTGCCATGTGTCTCTTCAATTTGTTCAATCGAGTAAATTCCTTATTGCATGTTTCACATTTATAAAGAGACTCTTTGTGATTAGTCAGCATATGCCTTTTCAGACTACCTAATTGTGTGAATGTCTTATTGCATATATTGCATTCATGGGGTAATACTACATCGTGTAACAGCATGTGACTTTTCAGATTACTTAATTGTTTGAATGTCTTATTGCATATGTTGCATTCATGCGGGCGTCCACTATTGTGAATAAGCATGTGGCGTTTCAGGTTGCTTAACTGTGTGAATGATTTATTACATACGTTGCATTCGTGAGGCCGATCACCACTATGAATAAGCATGTGGCTTTTCAGATTACTTAATTGTATGAATGTCTTATTGCATATACCGCATTCATGAGGTTGTACTCCATTGTGCACCCGCATGTGTCTTTTCAGATTACATATTTGTGTGTATGTCTTATTGCATATTTCGCATTTAAAGGGACATTCTTCGGAATGTGTATACATGTGTGATTTGAAACCTTTCAATACTTTGAAGGTCTTATGACAAATTTCGCATTTGAAGGGGCGTTCTTTGCTGTTGCTGGGCTTGTGTTCGACCATATGTTTTTTCAATTGATGTGACTCTGCAAAGGAACAATTGCAAATGTTGCATTTATAAGTGGGTGTCTCGATTGACTCCTGTTTGACTACTTCTTCTATAGTCACTTCGGAATTCATGAAATTTTCTAAACATGTTTCATCGTCCTCAGAACTCGATTCAGATTGAACAATAGCATCAGGATCGTCAGATTCATCTTCGATTTCGCGTTTAATCTCTTCTACTACATATTCTAGTGGTTCGATTTTAATTGCTTGAGTCATAGACATCTTTGTTTCTTCTGACATTTTTAAATATTTTTACTGCTTGTACTCACTAAATATTTACAAAAATATTAGTGTGCTAAATAATAATCTAGTTTAATCAACAACCTTTTTAAATATGATACAAATTTGGACTAAAACTTGCATTTATTATTTGACATTTGAAGCATAGAGTACGCGTCTAGAAAGATGAGACATTCACATCTTTCAAGTGGCGCGCTTTTTCGAATTCATTACATGCCAACATTCAACAAATATTATTATTATGAAATATATTTTCACCTTTTGTAATTAATTTTAAAAACAAATTTAATATTTTGTTAGTCATTTCTTCTATTTATATTTAAACACACAATTATACAAATATAGACAAATGAGGCACAACTTAAATTATACATAATAATACATACTATATTAAATGAAATATAATTTAATAAGTTCTAAGTTTTGCTACATGAAAAAACATGAAAAACAGAATTTTTACTCAAAAGTTATTACTCAAATACTCATCAATAGAGTAAAAATCTTGCTCTTAAAAAATGTGTTGAGTAATTAATATTTTTTATATGTAGATAACTCTATAGATTTTTAATTTTATTATGTGTAAATGTTCTTTCAATAATTTATTTGCATTTTAAAAATTGAATGAATACTTGAAAACTTTATCCCAAAAACCCCTAAACATAGATAAGTAAACACAAATGCCCCTAAAGTTTTTGATATTTTTTACAAAAATGGAAAATGTCGACAACCATTGTCTGAATTGATAAAAATCTTTAAAATGTCTATGTCCTCTCCTTCAGTTAATAATTCCTTAATTTTTAGTAATGTGATGCTTTATTTTCATTAAAGTTTTAAGAATAATTTATTTAAAACTAAATTTGTTTTTTTTAAGTGTTTGTTTTTGTCCTGGTTGATTTGCTGAATGATGACACACATAACTCTTTTTTAAATCGACGAATGGGATGCTAACTATTTTAAATATATATATATTGTAGTATTTTTACTTATGTCTGCCTTCATAGTTCTTAATAAAAGTGAAATTAATTTTAAAATTCGTAAATTAACATGAAAATGCAGTTAAATCGTTTCGTCCATTTGTAGTAATAAATTTTCAAAACAATTAAATTATTCACAAAGAACTACTTACTGACATCTAATTCTTCCGTTCACTTATATATTGCATTAATCTGTTACTCAATGATAATATAATTTTGAAACATTTTTTTATTGATTTCAATATTTGTTATAACTGTTAAATAATATAACATCTAGTAACAGAAGTGAATAGTAACATAAATATAAATAAAATAGAGTACAAATAAACAATAGTATTTTCAATAAAATGATATCCGATTATGATGATTTAATATAAAATAAAAACAAATAATGATAATAATGAAATGATCAATAAAAATTTGTGAATATTTAAGTAATGCTAGAAAAACAATAAAGTACCCATACAGCACGGGTCAAACAATGGTCGACCTGCTTGGTACCATTTACAGCCTACCGGGTTATTATAAGCCCATTATGGACCAATTTATGACGCAGTGGGTTTAGACCCATACGTTACCCGCCGGGTCAAACAATGGTCGACCTACTCTTACCCATTACTCACAGTGTTGTTATCGGCAAATGAAAAATGCATTCAAATATACAGCGCATGCGCATACGCGTGCGCGGCGTTTGCGCAACTAGCGCACAGATGGTGGCACTTATGTTGTTCGGCGTCCGCTTCATTTGCATTTCTTTGTCTGTTCTCATGACTGTCATAGATAAACACGATGAACAAGTATAACCTGAGTACTATATACGTATACTTATGCTACTAAAATTCTAAACAATATTAGAATATAATATATTCGTAATTTGTTTGTTGTTTGACTCTGTAATTTGTCAAAAAAATTCTATAAATAATATGTCTGATAAAAAAATTCGCAAACACATTGCGACTGTGTCAGATAGACATTTTATAGAAGACTTTTTTGGGAAGTGTGCGTTTGAAATTACGTTCGGAAGGAAAGTGTTTTGCAGAACTCTGAATGCGTAAAGGATTGCCTAGTACTAGTGCTTTTACAATAGATAATATTGAAACTGCGACTAATGCTTCTATTGGAGATGACTTTGAAGAACCGTCTTCTTGCCAGGCAGAGTTACAGGGTGATGTTGAAACAAATGATTATATTTCTCTTTCATAAGCGATGATAGTTCCAATGAAGATAAACTGAAGTTTTTGATGCAAGACAATTTTTAGCAGACTGGGTTGTGAATTGTCAGATACCTCATAATGCTGTATTCGCACTACTTAAAGGGCTAAAACTTCATGATTGTTTCAGTGATTTACCAACAGATAGTAGAACACTTCTGAAAACAAAAAGAACTGCTGTATCAAAAGTTGTAAGTCCAGGTGAATATATTCATTTTGGTTTATTAACTGGATTGAAAGATTCTATTGATAGGTTGAAATTGATATCTTCTATCATTGAATTAGAAATTAATGTTGATGGTTTGCCTCTCTCGAATTCTTCGAACATGTCAGCTTGGTCTATTAAGCACTGAGGGTTTTGATCACAATGGGAAACAATATAAGGTACGCATCAAATATTTTGTTTGTGATACTCCCGCCAAATCATTATATTGCAGACAAAGGGACACACAGGCTGCTTCAGTTGCTCGAAATGTCTTGTTCGTGGTTCAAATATTAATCGCAGAATTTGCTTTCCAAAAATGCAATCACCTGCAAGAACAGCTGAACACTTTCAAAGCTTAGAAGATGAAGACTACTACAATGGCTATACGAGATTGCTTGAAATACCGTACATTGGTTTAGTTACTAATGTACCACTTGACTATATGAATTTGATTTGTTTAGGAGCAGTTAAGAGATTGATGCTTTTGTGGACTGAAGGTGAGCTTCCAATTCGTTTGCCATGTGCTAAAACTAATGACTTTTCCAATTTTTTATGCAGCTTAAAGATTTATATATCCAAGGATTTTGCTAGGAAGCCTCGACCATTGAAATATGTGAGACCATGGATAGCTACAGAATTTAGACAATTATTTTTGTATAGTGGTCCAGTAGTTTTGAAATCTCATGTCATATTTCAAATGACTTTTATAAAAATTTTCTTACTTTACATATTGCTATTATAATTTTATGTAGCAACACGTTATTAAATGATCTTTTAGATTATGCTCAGCAACTACTTCATCATTTTGTTGAAAGATTTAAGGTTTTATATGGAGATCATTATGTAAGTCATAATATACATAACATTTTACACTTAGCTAATGACACCAGAAGTTTTGGTACACTTGATTCATTTATTGCTTTTAACTTTTAAAGTTATGAAAGATACTTTGAGGTAAAAGAACTTTTTATGGGAAAACATGTAAGGCCTGTAGCCATGCCTAAAGCTTATGAGATGTCTATGCATTTCGAAGGACATTTGATAGAATATTGTGGTAAACCTCAGTATAAGGTTGTATATTGTTCAGATTTTACATTCAATATTAATAAAAAGGCTGATTCATTACGGCACCAGTTTTAATGAATAGGCTTAATAAGCAGTGATGCCAATGTGATATGAAGGATGATTTGCCTGATTATACACTGGCAGTTTATAATAAATTTCCTGTTCGGACAGAGGCAGAAACTGCTTGATGTGGAGCAGCTATTGACAGATGTGAGCATAGCAGAGATATGCTAAATATGATGTTACCCAATGGATAAAAGTGGACAAATCAATTACATATACTGCTAAATATACATATACCGTCATGCCCATGACAGATTTATTTGCAATTTTCCGTAAGTTGAAATATATTTCACATATTTCGAAAATGTCAACATTTTTTATTTGATAAAATAACCTGTAAAACTATAATTTAAATTTTGTTATTTTCAGTGCTTTAGAAGGTGGTGAACCCAACGCGAATAATTAGTTTAAATTATATAAATAATAATAATACTATACATAGAAAATAAATAATAGGTTTTGGATAATAATCACCAAAAAAGTAAGTTAGTTTAATTAGTTGAGTTAGTTTAATTTAGTTATTTTCTAGTAATGTAAATGAAATTATTTTTAATAAATATACTTATGGAGTTGCAGTTTTAGCTCATTTGATATTTATAACTATATGGATTATTTATATTTAATACAAATACACACGGAAAGTATGCAACCATTATTGCACTAAATACCGCCATTTTGACCCATCGCGATACCATTCCAGCCCCATAGCATACCCGTTTTGAACCCGGCGGGTTGACCATGGGTCAAACCAGGGCTCTGACATATGTGTCGCCATGGGTTAACCTATGTTCATATATGGTACCAGCGGGTTGACCATAGGTTAACCCTACAGCCCATTGTGACGACCATAGGTTGACCATATGTCAACCATGTGCTGTGTGGGGTAGAATAAAAACAATAAGTGAAAAATAATAATAAATACGTATAACAAAATAATTTTGTAACATAAAAAAAAAGAATTTAAATATTTCAGTTTTGATTTTTATTAATTGGATAAATGCTTAAAAAGTGTTTACCATAAATATTTTATAACTCCGAAGACTTCTTGGATTTTATAAACAAATTTTCCAAATTTAAAAAAGTACCATGACATATTATTTTTCATAATCTACATCATCCGTTTATCATTTTTAATTGTAACATGGCCGGTTTTATATCTGGTATTCAAAATCACAGACAAAGCATTTGTTATTATCATTCCAAAAAATATAATCGACATAATTACATATTAGATAAGCTTTGATTTACGTCAAACCGAAATTACAGCAAAAATATAAAATGAAATAATATAAAAAACGTTGATTGTAAAAACTTTCTTAGATGTTTGAAAACTAATTTTAAAGAAATGGCTCAAGGGATCGTGGTACAAAACTAATCTAACTAATAGACATATTTATTCCAATTTTGAAAACGAACTGTTCAGGACCAATAGAACAAAATTAGATTTTGGATTGCAAAATTAAACTAGTAGTGCATGGCATCGTGCCTTAAGGCCAATTGCTAGAACTTCCCGTACCGTAACGAAATGTTCGAGGAATATTAAATGTTTTCAAATACATTATTATAAATATTGTAACATTGTCTAATATTTATAAGAATTATATAAACTGAATTGCAAAGTTAAAATTATTTGTTTAAAGTATATTAGAACTTTAGTCAGAATTAAAATTAAAATCTAAATAATTTTCGATAAACAAAAAAAATATTTTTTTCCAAAAGCAATTATCTTGTCAAAACAAGCAGAAAATGTTTTGAATCATTCAAATCGGATGCTTAGTTCTCTCAGAAACTTGATTTCTGTTTTCTGCACTCTTTGCTCCGTATCCCCGTAACGGCTTGACCTGCCTTTGCCAAAACTAATCAGCACACCTTCCTGTCAATAGGAATGGAATGTTTTTTGAACTATTCAAATCGGTTGATCCGTGCGCCCGAAAACGTGGATGAATATTCATATACACAAATACACACACACTACACACACGCATCCATTTCTTCTGTGTTATGCCAAAATGTTCAGAAGCCTTCAAAACGTGAAGATATGCAAAAATTGTTATTTTCTATTTGTGGTCCATTACTATAACTACCCTACGGGAAGTTATATTTCAAACCTTCCCGCCAATCATAGGTAAAAGAAGAGTATAATAAATGCTGTAACTTTTATTATTTGTATTTTATAGACAAAATATAAAAGCTTGCAAATTGTACGATAACGTTTATATTGTTTACATAAAAAATAAATAAATAAAACTTGATCAATCGGATTTAAAATGAAGATATCAAATCGCTTTGATCATTTTTATTTCTTTATGGCTTGATATTGAACAAGTGGCGCCCCTTTTTCAAATTCTCATCTTTCTGAAAATATACTCTATGGTTCTAATGTCAAATAACAAATGAAAGTTAAGTTGAAATCTTTATCATATTGTATCATATTGTTGATTTAACTAGATTATTATCAAGGACACGGATATTTTTGTAAATATTTAGTGAGTATAATCAGTGAAACTATTTAAAAATGTCAGAAGAAACAATTGTGCCTGTAAATGATCAGGCAATAAAAATCGAGCCACTAGAATATGTAGTAGAAGAGATTAAACGCGAAATCGAAGATGAATTAGATGATCCTGATGCTATTGTTAAATCGTGTTCTAAGGACGATGATAAGTGTTTAGAAAATTTTATGAATTCCGAAGTGACTATAGAAGAAGAAGAAGTCAAACAGGAGTCAATCGAGAGATCCACTTATGAATGTAACATTTGCAATCAACCCTTTGCAGAATCACATCAATTAAAAGAGCATATGGTCGATCACAAGCCTAGTCATAGCCAAGAACGCCCTTTCAAATGCGAGATCTGTAATAAGACTTTCAAACTATCAAAACGGTTAAAAGAACACATGATTTCACATTCTGAAGAACGACCCTTTAAATGCGATATATGTCATAAGACTTTCAAACAATTAAGTATTCTGAAAACTCACATGTCGGTACACACTGGAGTGCGCCCCCATGTTTGCACTATATGCGATAAGACATTAGCCACATTAGGTACTTTAAAAGATCACATGCTCGTTCACAGTGGTGAACGCTCCCATGAATGCAACATATGCAATAAAACATTCACACTAGCAAGTACTCTAAAACGTCACATGATGGTTCATTCTGGAGTATACCCTCATGCATGCAATATATGCAATAAGACATTCACAAGATTATCTTATCTGAAAAATCACATGCTGGCTCACGAAGGGGTGCGTGCCCATGAATGTAATATATGCAATAAGACATTCACACATCTAGGTAGTCTAAAAAATCACATGCTCACTCACAAAGGAGTACGCCCTTATGAATGCAGTATATGCAATAAGACATTCGTACAATTATGTACTCTGAAAATTCACTTTCTGGTGCACAAAGATGAACGGCCCTATGAGTGCAATGTATGCAATAAGACATTCAAACGAATAAATAGTATGAAAAGACATGTGCAGCTGCACAATGCAGTACCTCCCTATGAAAAGACACATGCTGATCCACTGGAGCGCCCCCATGAATGCACTGAGGGATTTACTCAATCGAACGATTTGGACGGGCACATGGAACTTCATAGTGGAAAGCTTGATGAAAATCATTGAAATATAATCATATTTAATAAAAGATTTATTTAGAACATTTAGAAGATTTTTATAAATTATTTTTGTATGTAATAGAATGTATAAATAATATGCAATATACAATAGAAAGTAAAATTTTAATCTTTACTAAGGTAATGAAGCAATTGAATTTCTCTTTTTCAGTAGACTTGATATTTGGGTTTCATGTAGTTTTTAGTCAAGTTTTACTAAAAATATATTTTATTCAAGGAGTAATAAATAAGGTTGTTTTTATTCTGTTTGTTTTCTTTTCGGATAGCAGCAAAGTGGTCGAAGGCAAGGAAGGCAGGTTTAGTTCAAGTTTTTTTTTTTCATATTAGTTCAAAATGACTGAATTTACAAAGGATATTGTGCTGGATATATAATGCAATCCCTGAATTACGAATTTTTTAACCACTAATATAGAAAATTAGACGCAATTTTTGAAAGAGTGAGGAACATATATTGTATTTCGTAAAATAAAATTTGCGCCTAGCTTGCATTTGTCCACTCTTGCTTGCCATTTTTGAAAAATAGATGTCCGACACTAAATGTGTTTGTAAAATTTAAAAAAAATTCATAAAAAAGCTTGAGAATTATATTTATTTTTTAATTTTTTTTATTATTTATTTAAATTTTTATTTCTTTAGTACTTATTATTGCTTTGTATTTATTAACTTCCCGTAGGGCAAGTTATAGTAATCGCAAAAAAATCGAAAATGAACATATTTATATATTCATTAGTAAAAATGGATGTGTGTGTGTGCGTGTGTGTATGTGCCTGAATGTGTGTATGCGGATACACATTTTCGTCGACGATTTCGGGAACACGGATGAAGCGATTTGAATAATTCAAAAAGCATTCGAATCGTATTGATAAGGAGACGTGCTGATTAGTTTTTGGCAAAGGCAGGTCTAGCCGTTCCGAAGATATGGGGCAAAAAGTGCAAAAACGATAACTCAGTTTTTTAGAGAACGAAGCGTACGATTTGAATAAATCAGGAAACATTCTACTTGTATTAACAAGATGAAGGACTGATCAAATTTTCAAAAGGCAGGTCTAGCGGTTTCGAAGATCTAGTAAAAAACGTAAAAAAAATGTCATTTGGTGGTCAAAAATGATCATTAGACATATGCACATCAAATTATCAGATAATTTATAGAGATTTTAACAATAAGTATAGATTTTGTTCACATTCCTATGGGTTCCGTACCACTGCTTAACCGTTAGACGGCGGCGCGGCGCTCACGCGCTTTGATACTTCGTCTCTATGCAGTTAAAGCAGTACGAAACAAATTCAGAATTTCCAAAATATTTCAAAATACACTTTTCTTCAAAAAGTCTTTTTTTCAAAAAAAAAGTAAATTTTTGTCAAAAATTTATAGTTTCTCAAAAATCTAATTTTTCATATTTGGAATCTGCTTCAGAGTAATTTTTCTCAAAAATGTTATTCTTTAAATAAAATAATAATTTTTGGTACGGGAAGTTCCAGCAATTTGCCTTAAGGCACGATGCCATGCGCCCCACTAGTTATTATTCTTTTTATTTTTTATTTGAATTTTAATATAAATTTTGTACTTATTATTATTTTGTTTTTATTATTTGTTATTTTCAGAAGATATCCAAATTGAATCAAATTCAAAATTTAAAGTTAAATGTCTTAATACCAATTTTTTAAACAATCTACTTAAGAAAGTTTTATTTGTTAGTATCTCACAAGTTTTCATAACGTCTTTGGCATTATATTGCTCTATTTTCTATTATAGTATATATACTATAGTATGTATTAACCAATAAAATGTATAAAATTTGGACATATTTTATAAAATAGAGTTTAAAATTTGAAATTACTTAATCGTTAAAAAATATAGAGATGTTATTAGAAAATTTTCACACTCTACTTTCGATCAAAGATACTACATATAAAATAAAACACTTCAAAGGCGTTAGCAACTAAATTAAATATTTATGAACATGAATTATGTAAATCCTTGCCTTAGAATTAAAATTAGATGTTCAAAGACCAGGAAACTATCTTTGTAAGATTTCAATAAAACAAATTCTAAGTCATCGACAATAGTTTCTTAAAACTGCAAAGCAGAGGATTAGTGAAAGTCTTTCTAAAATTGATAAATAAGATTTATGAATTACACGTTTTTGTCATCTATCGCATTCAATAAATTCTTAAAATAATCCTTAGTTGTACATATTGACTGTTATGCAAATGATAATCTGATATGAAAGTATTATGTATTGTAACTTTATCACAATGGAGCTTAGTGTATCAAATCAAAAATGTTTTGCTTCTATATAAATTTTAGTAATATATACCGAGTAGTTTTTGATTTATAACACATTTATATTTAAGTTTTTTTTATATTGTTATCAGTTTTATTAGACTTTTTTGCAAGTTTTCTATTATAGTACGAAAGATCACGACATCATCTTAGCTTAAAAAAATTGTATTAGTGCTAGAAATTGTTTTTTGGAATTTGGAAGCAGCTCTTTTGTTATCGAAATATTGTTTCAACAAATTCCTTCTTCTTTAACTTCGTCTAGGGTAAGTTATAATAATAGCAAAAAAATCGGAAATGAAATTTATTGCATATTTTTACGCTTGAGAGGTTTCTGAACATTTTTACATACCTTAGAAAAAATGGATGTATGTGTGTGTATGTATATTTGGATACAATTTTTCGTCTGAACGGATTTCGGGCGAACGGATTAACCGATTAGAATGATTCAGAAAACATTTGATTCCTATTGATAGAGAGATGCGCTGATTAGTTTTTGGCAAAGGCAGGTCCAGCCGCTTTGAAAATACGGGGCATAAAGTGCCAAGAATGGTAATATAGTTTTTGAGAGAACGGAGTACCCAATTTGAATGATTCAAAAAACATTTTGCTTGTATTACATTTTTGGAGAAGCAGGTCTAGCAGTTTCGGAGATACAGAGTAAAAAGTAAACAAAAAATGCCATTTGGCGGTCAAAAATGATCATTGGACATAATGCACATCCAATTATTATATATTTTAAAAATGAGTACTAATTTTGTTACATTTTTTTGAGTTCCGTACCAAGATTTTCAATGTTTTAATGTTCACTTTTACGGTTCAAACAAATTTCAAAATTTTGAGAATTTTTTTTTTCAAAATTTTCAAAAATATACGTTTTATACTTTAAATATTAATTTCAAATTTTTTACAATTCAGTTTAAAAATGTATATATTTCATATGCGTTATTGTAATTGTAAGAAATATATCCCCAGAATGAATCCATCTGAGGCTCATTATCATAATTATAATTATCGTTTTGAAAATATTTAAAACAATTGTTATTAATCATTGATAAACATTTATTTATTATTGATTTTTTTCTTCGAATATTTAATTCTGGTACGCAAAGTTCCAGTAATTTGCCTTAAGACACGATGCCATGCAGCACTAGTTTATTTTTGTATTAAATTGAATTTAAAAAAGTAGGATCGAAATGTTGGTTATTAAACAAATTTAAATTTTAATCGGGTGAATTTTAATAAAAGCCACAGCAACGCGTGGCCGGGTATGCTAGTATATATATATATATATATATATATATATATATATATATATATTTCTAATTTAAATAATACGTATATTTATGTTCTTCATTGATATAAAACATTCCATCTGTCAGTGTTGATAACATTATCACGGTCGTAATACATGCAACCAGCCAGTTACCAGTTCACTTTGCAAAATAGTCTTTAAAATTAAAGATAAACAAAACACATTAAGTTTTAATTAAACTAATTATAACTGCATACACACAAGTGCTAATTAACAAATTTCTTTGCAAATTTCATTCAAGTAATAGAATTTTTAGAAAGATCCGGTGTGCTAATTTTGGAGTCATTTTTATTTTTGGAGGTGGCTCATTGAAAGAGTTATTTGATTATTACATTTGTGGTGTTTGAAATTTACAGTTGTGGGAGAACATATGTTTAAAATTGTATATGTGGTGTTAGTGAGTTAATAAATAATATATTAAATAATATTAAAATCGTTAAAATTAAAAAATTAAATCACTTACTGTAATAAAATTTTTATTATCTAACTAATGATTCACTAGAGAAAGTTCCAAACATAATTGTGTACATCATTATACAATTATGTATGTAATGTTTATTAATATTTAAATAAGACATATAAACTTTTATTTCAATGAGTTTGAAATAAAATATGAGTTATTTAAACAGATGATTTAAATTCTTTTAACATATGTTAAAGATATGCTGCTCAATCTTATTTTTATATTTATACATATTTCTTTAGAAAAAATATTTTTATAATATTTATTGAACAATTAGTGAAAATATCTTTTGGCTCTTATCAGTGTAATACAAAAATTTCATGAGATACCAATGGTCAACCACTGGGTTGCAGAGCTAAAAAAATATATGAAGTTCTAATGTCTGTAGAAATGAAACAAAAATATCAAAATAAACAATAAACAAATTTGGCTTACCAATCGCTATTTCAGGTTCGATACCCATCTCGGCTAGCTTGATATCGAGTAGCAGTACTACCGTTTTGTACTTGCAAAAATATTTCTAAACTAGTGGTATATGGCAAATTGCTGGAACTTGCCGTACCGTAATGAAATATTCGAGAAATTTTAAACGTTTTCAAATATATTGTTACAAATACTGTAACATTGATTATTTTTGCTATTTTGTTATATCTGAGCAAATCAAATGTAAATCATAAATCAATTTATCTCCGGTACATTAACAATCGTCATTATTTCGAATTCAATTTCAAAAAAATAGTTGCCTAATTTACACAAAATTGAAAATGTGCTCCGGTATAGTCACAGTCTAAACGCATTTGCAAATAATTCTGTGCAACATTTTCACTTATACAGTGCTTACTATTCAGCTTGGCGGCATTTTCACATTTTTCAATAGTTTTCACAAAATTGGAAAATTCCTCCAGTACATAAACAGTCTAAACGCATTTGGGTAAACATGTGTACCAGAATCACGCTTAGACTGTACTTAGCCTGGGTGTTTTTTTTTAATTTTTAATCCAAAATTACGAAAATATTTTATGGCAAATAATATGTAATAATTTTTTATCCTTAAAAGCAATTTTGTCAATACAAGCAGAAAGTTTTTTGAATCATTCAAATCGGACGCTTAGTTAACTCCAAAACTGACATTTTCTGCACATTTAGCTGTGAATCTTCGAAATGGCGGGACCTGTCTTTGCCAAAAACTAATCACATATTTTTCCATTCATTACAAATTGAATGTTTTTCAGATCATTCAAATCCGTTACTCCGTTCTCTCAAAAATTCGATTTCTATTTTCTGCACTCTTTGCTCCGTATCTCCGTAACGGCTGGACCTGCTTTTGCCAAAAACTAATCAGCACATCTCCCTATCAATAGGGATCGAATGTTTTTTAAACCATTCAAATCGGCTGATCCGTGCGCCCGAAAACGTGGACGACAAAATGCGGACATACAAAACACACACACACACATCAATTTTTTCTAAGGTATGCCAAAATGTTCAGAAACTTCAAAACATCGAGAAATGCAAAAATTTTCATTTTCGATTTTTGTTTAATAATTAAATAACTAATTCTAGTTTACTACATACCAGCGCTCTCTGTCTATTACAACAAACTGTAAATCTATCCATGTATCCAATCATGTTTGCAGATATATTTTTTTATAAAGTTTAAAACATTCGGCAATAGAATACAAGGTCGACTATTCAGTATTAGTCATTTGCAAAACCAAATTTGTCTTTTATTTAAAATAGAATAGAATGTTTTAGTGACGTGATAAAATGTCAATATTAGAATAATTAGTAATAATGATTTAAAAAGTATTTATTTATCTAAATTATTCATAACTATTAAAATAGATATCATAATACACGGTTAAAGTGGGGCAGTGGCTTATAGATAGTGATAAAAAGTGTTTTTATTTTACTCTTTTATATATTATTGTGTCATAAATAAGAGAAATTTTTAAACAGTTTCAGTGATTTTATTTGTTTTTAAATACATTAAAGGGTATTCAAAAAAATAGTTTAAAATAATCATTCATCAATTCTACCAGAGACAATTTGAAGTAAATTTCAGAAACTATAATATAAAATTGTCCTTGAAATCTTAATTTTATACATTTTGTTAGTGAATTAACATATGTTTTATTTTTATAAAATTGAATTTTGTATATGAAAATTTTAAAACGTATTTTATACAATTTAAAAAGGTTACACCGTTCCAAACATTGATGATAACTATTTATTTGTTGTAGTATATGTCGTCATAATAATTTAAAAAAACGTTATAAAATGTCTCTTCTCGTTTTCCTTCACAATTGTGAATTTATTACAAAATAGTAATGTATAGTCATATTAAAAAATGCTGTGTTAAGGGGTCTATCTTCATATGAGTTGATAGTAACAAACTATCAAAAAGTTAAGCTGTAAAATCAGGCGTTTTACACATAAAACCTAACCTCCAAAAGGTACAAACGATAACAATTTTATCATAAGTGCAACTTTGTGATGTCTCATTGATAACACGTACGTGAAGTTAGGTTTTATGAGTGAAACCCCTGCAGCAAATTAAACTGAATTAAATTAAAACAGCAAAGTACATAGATTTTTGACACTCATACGAATATAGACCCGTAACATATCTTTACCATAGCATTTCTATTTTTATCCGAGAATTGACTCTGATTATATGTTAATAAAATTAAAATAATCCTTTTGAGAAAAAAATTTTAGGATAATTTTTAAGAGAAAATTTGGTAATAATTTTTGTTTTAAGTGAGTACTTACATATATATTTATGATCCTTGAATCATAGAAAAAAAAAATTATTCTTTTAAATAAGTCTGCATTTAACATACCACTAAAACTACCATAATATTTTAATATAAATTGATATGATATAAACAATTTTATACTGTTGAGCTTTTTTAATTTAAATGAACATTTTTATCGATTTTTGAATGTCAAAATTATGATTTGATTTTGTTATAACTAGAAATTTAATTATTTATATTATCAAAATTTATATAATTTCAATTAGAGCCAAAATATTTATATTAAAAAATTTAAAAAGATGTGCTCCGATGTAAATAATTTCCCTTCAAATAAAATAATGAATA